GAGTGAGCTCCCGTCTCTAGTTCCAGCTCCTGCCAACCAAGCAGTTCGAAAGCAAGAAATTGCAAGTAGATAAATAGGTACCACTTCGGTGGGAAGGTAACAGCGTTCCGTGTGCCTGGGTGTTTAGTCATGCCAGCCACATGACCATGGAAACGTCTTCGGACAGCGCTGGCTCTTCGGCTTGGAAAAGGAGATGAGCACCGCAACCCTAGAGTCGGACTCGACTGGCTTTCGAGCAAGGGAACCTTTACCTTTACCTTAAACAGGGACCACTTCGGTGGAAAGGGAACAGCATTCCGTGCACCTTGGTGTTTAGTCATGCCAGCCACATGACCATGGAAACGTCTTCGGACAGCGCTGGCTCTTCGGCTTTGAAACGGAGATGAGCACCGCAACCCTAGAGTCGGACGCGACTGGCTTTCGAGCAAGGGAAACTCTTCACCTTTACTGTTCCTGTAGTGGGGCTCAGGGGTGGGAAGGACCGACCCTCACTCTGGTCCTCGGGAGTGCAGAGACCTCCGATGACTGCAGAGCCGGCTGACGGGTGTCACTCACGCCCCAGGAGCACCGGTGGCCCTACGTCCGGGCTGCCTCTCTGGGAGAGCGGATTGTGCAGCCGCCTGCGTAATTCTGCGCAATCTGGTGTTCTCGGCAGCAGGCGAGGGGGCCCGGGAGAGAGAGAGAAAAGCCCCCCCCCCCGCGCCTGTTATCTCCTGCCAGCTGCCAAACACCTGATACCTGCGCCCGGGGAGGGGGAGGGGGGGCTGCCAGCCAGCTGTGAACACCTGTCCCCGTCAGACGGCTGGATGGTCTCTCCAGCTGTTTGCCGGAGCCCCGCAGCTGTGCCGCTTAATTGGCGATTTGTTGAGAGGACCGAGAACAAAACTCAACCAGACAAAGGGGGCGGGGGTGGGTGGGTGGGCGCGCAGGCACTGGAAGGAGATCAACCTGTTCCCCAGCCCGGAGGCTTTGGGAGGCAGGCGGAGCAGGCAGGACGACAAAAGACTCTCCCCCCCCCCTCAGCAAACTCCCCCCAGGGTGCATAGCTGACGCAGGCAGACAGTCGTGCGCCGCGAGGAAGAAGAAGAGAAGAGATTGGATTTATACCCCATGGCCCTTCACTTGTAGTCTCAGAGCGGCTTACAAACGCCTTTCCCTTCCCCTCCCCAAAACAGACACCCCCTGTGAGGTAGGTGGGGCTGAGAGAACTCTGACACAAACGGCTCTTTTCCAAGGACAGCTGTGCCAGAGCTTGTGACTGACCCAAGGTCACATCAGCAGGTGCAAGTGGAGGAGGAGTGGGGAATCAAACCCCGTTCTCCCAGATTAGAGTCCGCACACTGAACCACGACACCAAACTGGAGGGGGGCCGCCGGGTAAGCTGCAGGGAGCACAAGCAGCCCGAGGAGAGTGCACTGGAAGGCACTCGAGACCAGCCCCCTCCCCCAGGCAGCGTTGCCAGCCTCCAGGTGGGGCCTGGAGATCGTCTGGAATCAAAACTGGCCCTAAAACTACATGGGTCACTTACGATTCATTTAAAGCCTTTATTCCGCTTCTCCTGCAGAAAACGGCTGCTTTTGAAGGCAGACAACCCCACCTTCCCAGGGAGCTCACCCTTCCAATCTCCGGGTACTTCCAAATCCTGCCAATGATCTCTCCAGCTCCCAGCTAGGGTTGCCAGCTCCGGGCTGGGAAATTCCTGGAGATCTTGGGGGGGGGGTACAGCCTGGGGAGTGCGGGGTTTGTGGAGGGGAGGGACCCCAGCGGGGACTGAATGCCACAGTGTCCACCCCCCCTCCCAAAGCAGCCGTTTCCTCCAAGGGAGCCGTCCTTTGCAGCCTGGAGACGAGCTGCGATTCCAGGAGATCTCCAGGCCTCACCTGGAGACTGGCAACCCTACTCCCAGCCAGTGCTCCCTCTAAGCTGTGTTGGTGTGAGCTACTTCACAGTTCTCTAGCCTCCGGCTCACACATCTTTGTCTCAGTTCAGGGAGGAGGGCTCCAGAGCAGACTAATTGATGCAGCAGCCAAACGGCTCGCTCGCAACTTTAATGCGGGCAGCTCACAAAGTAGGATTTTTGCTCACAGGACTCCACAGCTTAGAGGGAGCACTGCTCCCAGCAGGGCCTTTCTCTTGCTGGCAGTGGGGAAGCAGGCCTCCTCGAGAGGAGCCGGTCACCCTTGCCTCTCCTACCGGCCAGGACTGGATTCATTCAGTTGGAGTAACCAGCATCATTCCGTGCAACCCTTTCGGATCTCAGCTCCATCCTTCACAACGCCAAACACAAAGGGCTCTGCGGGTGAATGGCACCGAAGAGCAGAAAGGGAGTTTACAGACCCGCCCTCTCCCAAGGCCAAAACATTCCGTTTCGGGAAGCCCTCCTTATCGGGGAGGCCTCTGCTGGTTTGAAAAGGCTCCTGGCTCTCCCGCCGAATTCCGGTGTGGAGGGTGCCCGTTGCTTCCCAGCAGTCTGCTCCCTGGTCCTGGGCAGACAAATCTTTGGCGGGCCTCTCCCTTCCTCCTTCAAGAGCTGACCTGCAATTCCCATGACCATAAAGGCCACCCGGCCCTCCGTGAGCAGGCACCCAAGCGGCTCAGAAGAGCCTCCAGGCGCGCGGGAAGGAGAACAGGGCCGGAGGGGTGTGTGTGTTTGGAACCCAGGGCCTTCCTTCCCAGGGTTACATCCAGCCCCCTCCTCCCCACTGCTGAGGAGAGAGCCCGGTGTTTTTAAAAAGGCGTTCAGATGGCAGATGAGTGGAGGGAAGCGCGCCTTGACTCACCCCCCCACCCCCACCGTGAGAGGACTCTGAAACCAAATGCAAAGTTTGCGAAGACGTCTGAGCTCCTCGAGACCTCTTTCTTATATAGACCAGGAAAGGGGCACGCTTGGCAGGATGTCACCAGTGTTCCCTCTAGGCCGAGTGAGTGTGAGCCAGCTCACCGTTTTTTAGGCTCCGGGCTCACACATTTTTGTCCTCGCTCAGGAAGGAGGGCTCCAGGGCAAAGTGATTTCTGCAGCAGCCGAATCGCTCGCTCACAACGTTGATGCCAGTCGCTCCCAAAGGAGACTTTTTGCTCACAGGACTCCACGGCTTAGAGGGAGCATCGGACGTCACTCTCAGTGGGCACGAAATCCCACCAGGCGAGCCCAGAGGTGCCCAAGGAGAACAGGAGATGCCCGCAAATGGCTGCTTCGACACCACTGCTGGCCCTGAGCCCAGCTCTCCGGCATCTCAAGCACGGGTCCTGCCCAGTCCCAACCAGTGTTCCCTCTAAGCTGACTGAGTGTGAGCCGGCTCACAGTTTTCCAGCCTCCAGCTCACACATTCTTGTCTTCGCTTGGGAAGGATGGGGCTCCAGAGCAAACCGATTCATGCAGCAGCCCAATCGCTCGCTCGCCACTTGAATGCCAGCAGCTCACAAAGTAGAATCTTTGCTCACAAGGCTCCACAGCTTAGAGGGAGCCTTGGTGGCAACTCAACCAGTGCTGGGAATTGAGGGGCCAGCTCTGTTCTCTGCTACTCATCCTGACCCTCACCCCCACCTCCGTTTCGCTGGGTGTCGTTCAGCAGTGGAATTGGCGGCTGGGGGAGGTGGTTGGCTCTCCCCCCCCCCACTGGGAGTCACCGGCTGGATGAACACTCGTCAGGGATGCTCGGGGCTGATCCTGCATCAAACAAGGGGATGGACTAGATGGCCTCTGCGGCCCCTTCCAACTGTAGGATTCCACGTCTTTCCTCTGTGCCAAAGCGCTCCCTCCGGCCACATCCAGAACTGGTTTTCAAGGGACGGCCTTCTCAAACGAGTGACTCAGGCCCATAGCCAGGACTTTTAAGGTTGGGGGGCATCTACATTTCTTAGGGGGGCACTGGCCAATCAAATTAAAGGAACACCGGCTCCTTCCCTGCATCCACTACTGCTCGGGGGCCCTGGGCTGGATGGGAAGTCAGGGGGGGCTAGCCCCCACATGCCCCACGGTAGCTACGGGCCTGGAGTGACTCTGGTTTCCCCGAAACGCTTAAAAGCTGCTGCAGCGGTAGCCCCCCTGCGTCGAAAGGCTGGGTGGAGCGTGACTGGGGGCGAAAGGCAAGGCTCCGGCCCAAAGGAAACAGAACCTCAGGGAAGAACCCCCAGCGCAACCCAGCCTGGCCCCTCCTGCCTCTTTGCACAGCACCGCAAGCGGCCTCTTTGGGCTCACGACGACCCTGCAGCACCCAAACGGCTCAGGCTTCTCACTCCTGCTCTGCTTAACTCACAGAGAGCTCCCCAAACACGCGGCCCCACAGCCCTCCAACGTTATGTCCAGCGACCCTGCTACACAAGGGGGGAGGGAACCAGGACAGGAATTCATGGGTACGGTCCGTACAAACACCTCAGGAGCGTCCCGAAATCTGCAACCAACCCACCTGGGCACGTAACGCCAGTGCCTACACACCACCACCTCTGACCACTGAATACACCCCGCAGGGCCTTCTCTCTCTCCCTCCCTCCCTCCCGCCCTCCCGGCTACCCCCTGCCTCCTGCTTCTCACAGCGCTCCACTGTCCGGCCTGGGGCTTCCCTCCGGCAGCAGGGGTCAGCCAGTCGCGATGCCTGCCTCGCGTCTACCACGGCTTGGTCTAACGGGGCAGCCTTCTCACCCGTACACCACCGGAGGGCTTCTAACACCCAGTCTGCAGACTGAACTTCCTTGCGGCCTGAACGGAGCTTCTCCTTGCTCCGCTCTCTTGCTGAGAAGTGGCAAAAGGCAACACCTCGGAGAGGAGAGCTCTGGGCACCGGGTGTGCCACAGATGCACCGGGAGAAGCCTGTCAAGAGACGCGGACGTCAGCTGACCCACCGCCTCCTCTCCAGGGCACAGCTGGAGGAACGAGGACCCTGCCGGTGGGGGAGAAACCGATGCAGCCCCCCAGACCACCCCACGGAGGGAAAAGACCTCTCCTGCTTTGGACCCCCGTCTCTATTCATGCCAGGCCAAAGGGGGGGGGGGACGACTCCTACCTGCGTCCACATCGTTGGGCCACCCGCTGGACTGGCTGCTGCCAGCTGCAGGGGACCGCCCCGTCCCGGGGTAGAAGACGTCGTCGACGGGGCTCTCCATCTCGCTGTCGTCTATCGACTTGGGGCGCTTGGTGGAACTGCGGTGGGGAGAGAACACAGAGGGGGTCTGTTGGGATTCTTTAATTCGGGGTCGATGGTCGTATTGCCAACACAAGAGCCACGCTTAGTAAAAGAAAAATATCTTTACTATAAAAACAAAATAAAACATGGGTAGGGTACTTTGGATAAAAGAAATAAAATAAAAGGTTACATACTTGCAGTTACTCTCAGTAATATATGCTAACAGCTACATCTTTCTATCTGTCCTGGCTTCTAGAAGAGAACTTCCTCTCTGGTTCACACAAAGGGCCATAAACCTTGTGAATACATGAATGCTAGATCAAAGCATTTCCACAAGCAAGATGTTAGTTGACCAATACAAACGTTATGGGTCACTTCATTAGGATAAACAACTCCCACAAACTTTCCCGCCGTTGAATATATTATGTAACGTAACATCCTGTTTCCTAACAAACAACATTTAACTCTGTAATGACTGAAGTGTAAGCAACTTGCAATTCCAAAAGGGGCGGGCAGTAAGTGACGGCCGGTGATGGCACAGCGAGCCGGCCACTGAGGAGAGGGAGAGCCTTCCCGCCCCCAGGGCCGGGGCTGGCCACGCGGTGGCTTGCCCCAGGAGCATCAATCCAAATCAATTAGGTTTCAGTCAGATATAAGCTTTCAAGAGTCAAGGCTCCTTTTCTCAAACACAAACCCGGGCCTGGATAGCCCAGGCCAGCCCAATACCGTCAGGTCTAGCAAGAAGCAGGGTCAGCCCCGGCAAATATTTGGATGGGAGACCACCAAGGAATACCAGGGGTGTGACGCCGAGGCAGGCAATGGCAAAACCACCTCTGAATGGCCTCTTGCCTTCAAAACAAGTCTCGCTCGCCACCTAGGGTGCGTAATGCTAAAAAAAGAGCTAGAACTTCTGGCTGCCAGACAATCTTAGGATCTCCTGGCTATTCTATACATAGTTAAGTATAGAGAGACCTCCCAGTTGAAGATAATCAGCAGCACAAGAACACCTGGGGAGACCTTATAATGCAATTGATACTATATTGGGAAATTACAAAATACAATACAAAATATCCACAAAGTGTAATTCAGCAATAAAGTGTGTAAGGTTCATAAATTCATAGAAAATCACATTCCACTTAGTAATTCATACATAAGAGAATCTCTCCTTATATATAATTGAATAGTGGGTGCCAAAGTTCTAATTCTAAAATGCACTCCCTTAGTGTATGGCTGATGGCACTGCTCCTCAGCATATATCGCCACCAATCAGAAGGCAAAGCCCGGGTCCCGCCCACACCACAACTGCTGCGACAACCTGGTCTTTTGCATATGGAAGCTGATTGGACTTCAGTCCATTCCACACCTCAAACTCCCCCCCCGCCCCCGCAAGGCAGTTGGAATTTTCAGTTGCATAACATACCTCATAGGGGAGAGGAGAATGGGTAACAATGGTTACCACTCTCCAGGCGAGGGCTACAGATAACTCAAACATACAAATGCTCTTCAGGTAGCAGAGATCAGTCCCTCTGGAGAAAACAGTGGACTTTGTCATTAAACCCTGCTGAGGTTGCCACAGGAAACTGACACTGTTTGCTCAAAGCCAGAGAACTCTCCCAGAGCCTCTTTCTAGATCCCGTTGTATTTATTTCCACAACGGGCATTATTTCTAGTCACAATATATAACGAAGCTTCCGACGTTTGTCTTCGTTTCGATCCTAGACTTCCTCAGAAGTGAATTCTCTTGCATATAATCAGGGCTTTTTTTGTAGAAAATGCCCAGCAGGAACTCATTAGCATAACAGGCCACACCCAACAGCAGAAACTCATTAGGATTGGCTACATTAGGGGTGTGTGGCCTAACATGCAAAGGAGTTCCTGCTACAAAAATTCGCTTCTTATTCTGTTTACCTTCCTTGTTGTCAAAACCCAGGGCCTTTTTTTGTAGCAGGAACCCCTTTGCATGTTAGGCCACACACCCCGAATGTAGCCAATCCTAATGAGTTTCTGCTGTTGCGTGTGGCCTATTATGCTAATGAGTTCCTGCTGGGCGTGGCCAACTCAGGAGCCAGCCGGAACTCCGTTCCTGTGCGTTCCTGCCCAAAAATAGCCCTGCATATAATATATGTTGTCTCATTCATATTCATATCATTTTGCATTTCGTGAGTGTCGTCTCTTTTGTTTTCATATAGTTTTCTTTTTGCTTTTCAAAGCTTTATGTTCCGAACAGGGCACAAAAATCCTCATGGTCGGCTCCAGTCAAATCTGCTGCGCACTTCTGAATCCAACTGCTCTACTGCAGAAAAACGCGGCTGTCCCCTGAAACTATCTTCACAGAAGAATCCAGATCAAGCATCAGATCGAGGAAGGGTCTGGAACCCGTGCCTCTTCTGCTCCTCCGCGGCTCGAGTGAGCTTGCAGGTGACCCTGGCTGGGTATCTTGAAGCAGCACAGAATTCTACCGTCTCCTCCCGCCCCCCCCAAAAACCCCCAGCAAGTGGGACACCGGGACGACTGGTTCCCAGGGCCGGCAGCCTTCCGTGGCAGGATTCGGAGGACAGACGGCCCCTCCTTGCACTGCACAACAAAAGACGCGGGGGAGACGTACCTGCTAGAAGGCGGAGAGGTTATGGACCGTCTCCCGAGAGCCACTTGATTGATGTTGTAGTAACTGGGGCTCTCCAGGTCGGCCAGAGAGAAATTCGGACCGGATGCTGTGGCCACGGGAGCTGAGGAATGGGAGACAACGGCTAAGAGAGTGGAGGGCGAGCGCGTCCAGAGGTCAGGCTGGCTTCCCTGCTAAGCAGCTTCCCACTTCCTGAATGCGAGCGGTATATGTGTGTGGGTGGGAGGGGGCATGATTTGAGGTGCGCAGAGCTGGTTCAGGACAGCTTGGATGCTTATCAGAGAACTCTGGGGAGTCCTGGGACAACCTTAGAATGTTCTTGGTCCTACCTCTTCCCTGAATGATACTTTTCTTACCTTGCTCTGCTTCCCAGTTCCAGGTGAGGGGATACCGTTGCGACGTGGGAAGTCTGTCCTGGTGGGAAGGGCACTACAGTCCTCCCCGGACCCCCAGAAGCCCCACCCAGCCTTCCATCAGGTGGATCCTGTGCCCCCACTTTTCTCTAGAAACTCGAGTGTTAGAACTTTGGAGCGGGTGAGGAGACAGAATTCTCAAGACACCCAAGCCTGGACCACCTATTTGGTTCCGTGACTGCATTCATGGCAAAGCAGCTTTTGGACAATGCGCACCCACGTGTCACAGCCCCGCCACGCTCACTGTGACAATGGGCTTCGGCAAGGGGAACAGAGTGCGGGGAATCTAGGCAGCGTGGGCAGAAGGGTTCGCCTTCCCCTCTCGCTGACCAACCACATATGCAGCCAGATGGTTGGCCAAAGGACTGAGAGGAATCTGCACCACAGTGCTGGCTGCACCAAGGTGGGCACGAACATCGACCACAGAGTGTGCCTGGCCAAGAAAACAGCTGATATTCTTGGATTTTGAGAGAAGAAGAAGAAGAGGTTGGATTTATGCCCCATGGCCTTTCACTACCCAAAGGAGTCTCAGAGCAATTTACAGTCTCCTTTCCCTTCCCCTCCACACAACAGACACCTTGAGAGGTAGGTGGGGCTGAGAGAGCTCTTTCGAAGACTGCCCTGGAGAGAACAGCTCTGAGAGAACTTGTGACTGACCCAAGGTCACACCAGCAGCTGCATGTGGAGGAGTGGGGAATTGAAGAAGAAGAAGAAGATATTTGATTTATACCCCGCCCATCACTCCCCAAAGGTGTCTCAGAGTTGCTTACAATCTCCTTTCCCTCCCCCTCCCCACAACAGACACCCTGTGAGGAAGAAGAAGAGGAGGAGACTGGATTTATACCCCTGGCCCTTCACTCCCCAAAGGAGTCTCAGAGCGGCTGACAAACTCTTTTCCCTTCCCCTCCCCATAACAGACACCCTGAGAGGTAGGTGGGGCTGAGAGAGCTCTTTCGAGAACTGCCCTTGAGATAACAGCTCGGAACGAACTTGTAAAGAACTTGTAAAGAACTTAGCTGGCTGCATGTGGAGGAGAAGTGGGGAATCAAACCCGGTTCTCCCAGATTAGAGTCTGCACTCCTGGCTCTCAAGAGGAAAGATGGGGAAGGGGACTCCGACAACTGACTGAACTGCGGGGTGGGCCGTAGGTGCACCCGACATTGTTCAGCAGAACCAGAAATAAGACGATAAGGCGGCTCCGGGCCCTGCTTCCTGACACTGGGCAAAATGGGAACGGGGTGTAAGCAATGAAGACAGCCTCAAGCGAGGGTCCTCAATCAGGTGCCGGTGACACTTCTCCTGGTGCCCACCGGCTGTTTTAGAAAGTAGGTGGGGCCCAGAGGGGGCGTCACAGGTCCCAATTCTGCACGGCTGGCTCTTTCCTGCTCTCCTGCCAGGAACAGCCCTTTGTATCTACGACAGGCCCACAGAGCAAGGAACCGGGGTGGGGGGTGGGGATGACATACCTTTTCCAGAGCCAGTTTGGTGTCGTGGCTAAGTGCGCAGACTCTAATCTGGGAGAACCGGGTTTGATTCCCCAATCCTCCGCTTGCACCTGGCTGGATGACCTTGGGCAAGCCATAACTCTGGCACAGCTGCCTTTGAAAAAGAGCAGTTTCTGTCAAGAGTTCTCTCAGCCCCACCTACCTCACAGGGTGTCTGTTGTGGGGAGGGGAAGGGCTTCCCTTGTATGGCCGTGGCCCCGCCCCCCGCGTGCCCGGCGTGCCCACGTCACTTGCTAGTGCCCACGTCACTCTGCCGCGTCGGAAATCGGGGCTTCAAAGCGGGGGATTCCCCGCCCCCCGCCCACATTTGGCAGCCCTAGAAAAAGAGCAGTTTTCTGTCAGAGCTCTCTCGGCCCCACCTGCCTCACAGGGGGTGTCTGTTGTGGGGAGGGGGAGGGAAAGGAGTTTGTCAGCCGCTCTGAGACTCCCTTGGGTAGTGAAGGGCCATGGGGTATGGCTGGCTTCTGCAGTGACTTGCTAATGTCAACACACGCCCTGTGGGATGCCAGTGATGATGAGGGCAAGGGGGGGGGGATGAGGGAAAAGACATGCCCTTGACTCCTAAGAGGAATGCGACTGTGGAGGATGCCCCTTCTGCTAATTTCCCGAAACGGGTTCCACCCCTTTGTTAGATTTCCCACAGACTTCCACTCTGGAAGGTCATTATCACGGCGCGTGCACTCCGGAGCGCACCCACGGCCGTGGACGTCACTGCACATGCTTAACAAGCTCAGAAAAGGATGGCTCCGCCAGCCAGGGCTATACCACCGAGGCCGTCTGCAGGGGTCCTGCCGCGTCCCGGCCACCTGACGGAGCCCACCCCAGCACCCCCCCGGGAGTTCCGGACGCCCCGACTTACTCTGTGACACTCTCACCAGCTCCGTGACATTCCAGACACCCGATGTCACGAAACAGTCTTGGAAAGTCAGATGCCCTGCAAAGAGAGGAAGGGAGGCAGACCTGGTAACAAGGGGCGGGGGCGGTTCCTGCCCTGAGCCTACTGCCCGCCCACCCCACTGAGCACAGAGCATTTATTGACTCATTTAGCTAATTAAAATACTGATATCCAGTGTTCCCTCTAAGGTGAGTGAGTGTGAGCCAGCTTGCAGTTTTCTAGCCTCCGGCTCACACGTTTTTGTCATAGCTTGGGAAGGATGTGGCTCCAGAGCAAACTGATTTATGCAGCTGCCAAATTGCTCGCTCACAACTTTAAGGCCAGGAGCTCACAAAAGTAGGAGTTTTGCTCACAAGACTCCACAGCTTAGAGGGAGCATTGCTGATATCCAGGGGTCATTCCGTAGAAAAAGAGGTGCAGGAGCTCATTAGCATAACTCATTAGCATAGCTCATTTGCATACGCCACACCCCCTGACGTCACCGGAAGTGTGTCAGAAGGCAACGCCCACCACTCAGGCTCCACTGGACTGTTTTGGATTGCTAGCTATTGGGGGGGGGGACGTGCAGATCTGTCCTCACAGTGGAGGGAGAGCTTGTACCTGAATAAACCTTGCTCTTAAAGGTGCCACTGGACTGTTTTGGACCGGGGAGGGGGGGCTCTGCAGCTTACCTGGCTCCGCTCCTGTGCGCTCCTGCAGGAAATGACCCCTGCTGATATCCCACCTTTCCTTCTGGCTCCAGTTTGAAGTCTTCCTCCAATAAAACGAGCCTTCCTCCAACTTAAGCAGCTCTTCCATCGGAGGAAGCACTGCTTAAGTTGGAGGAAGAACCTCCCCCCCAAGCTGGACTGAGGCGATATGGAGGGCGGTTGGATTTCAGCTGGTTTCAGCAACCGTGGCCTAGACACGACTTGCCACCAGGCAACTGAGCAATACGGGGATCTGTTCTAAAAACTTCATTTAACTAGATTAAGATTACATAGTAAATCACAAGAAATATCTGTGATAACATTCCACTGAAATCTTTGTACTCCACTTAATTACATCAGTTGAGCAACTCAGGGGCGGGGGGGGGAGTTTACCAAACTATATTCAACTGAGATAACACCCTTCCTTATTTTTATTTTTAAGAACGCCAACTTGATTACCGAAAAGGTTTATTTGCATTTCATGAGTCATTGGTGGAATACTATCTGACTCCAAATATCTCGTGAAGGTAATTCTAGCTGTTATTGTACATATTTCAGAATTCTTTTGGAAACCCAGGGGTCTCCCTTCTAGCCTGGCACGGGAAACTCGACCTACTCCCGACTCCGGATTGCCCCCTGTGGACCTTTCCGTGTCTTTAGGCCTCCGGAACCCAGTTCTCGTAATGTCCCTTCTCCAATCACAGACCCCCTCTATTGCCAAACTGCTACAATTATGTCCCAGAAATGGAGCGAGTAATTCCAAACCCGGCTGTAAAACCCACTTTTCCCCAGCCACCCACCTCTCACCCCGATTTGGGCTCCAGAAAGAGAATGCAGTGTGAGATAGCAGAGCCAGTTTTGGCTGTTCACTCACCATTGGGCAGTGGTTTGATGTCCGCATCTCCTTGCTGGTTTGAATTGTCTGATTGTCCTGATTCTGAAACACAGAAGCAAAACCGGAAATCAAGGGGTTGTTGGAGCTGACCGTACACAGTGGATGACAAGCTCTGGAACTCTCTCCCTGGGGAGACACACGTGCTGGTCACCAATTTCTACCAGCCCTCCTTCCTAACGGCTGTTTTTACGTTTTGTACATATTTTAACTGTGTCTTTAATTGTTTTAATGAATTGTGTCCTAATAGCTGTTTTTTAAAAAATTTTATGTATTCTAACTTGTGTTTTTAATTACTTTAACGATGTGTGCTTCAATTGCTGCTTTTATGTTTTGTGTGTACCCCTAACTCTGTTTTTAATTCTTTTAGTGACGTGTGATCTGAATGGTTTTAAATCATTTATATCGTGCGTGTTTTAAATTCGTTAGCCAACCTGGTGGCCCTTGTGTGGGCAGAAAGGCCAGATACATGTTCTGTAAATAAAAAGAAACAAATCTCACTCCACTCACTTCAGCGGCCAACGAGAGAGATGCTCCAGAATGGCCCCATCTCCCTGGCTCCTTCGCCCACAGCCTGAGAAGATCCCCTGGGGAAATGGCTGCTCTCTGGAGCTGACCCACCACAGCCAGCCAGGCGGTTGTCTGTTCTTAAATGTGCCTCAGGGCGGGGAAGCTCAGGCAGCCATTCACCCCTTGCCCAAGGACCCCGTCCTCTACCTCTCGGCTCTTCCCTGAGTCCTCTGCACTCACTATCCGCTACTTAACAGCAAAGTCCCAGTTTAGGGACACATCCTAATAAGAAGGAGGTGTGAGAGGTTACAAGATACTGTAAACCGAAGTTTAGCAAGCAACAATTTATTGTGGAAACAATTAGAATAGTTAAGCTTATTAACTAACCTGTTTTTAGTAACATGAACCCCCCCCCCCCATTGTAGTGTGTTTTAAATGTATTTATTTGATTTAGACCCCACACTCCCTGCCAGGGCAGGCCCAGGGCAGCTTACATAAATGCAATGGCTAAAAACAGCAATATAATAAAAGCATTAAAATCTTAAAAACCACAACAGAAGAAGAGGAGAAGAAAAGAGATTGGATTTATCCCCCACCCTTCACTACCTGGAGTCTCTGAGCGGCTGACAAACTCCTTTCCCTCCCCCCTCCCCACAAAAGACACCCAGGGCCGGCTCACTCACTAGGCGAACTAGGCATTCGCCTAGAGCGCACAGGCCCTTAGGGGCGCCAAACTGCCACCACCAAAAGCTCCCCGCCATTGCATTTCCGTGGGTGGGTGACCCCCGCCACTGCCTCTTTGGCCAGCTAACTCTTCCCTGCCTGCCCCCTCGGCTTCCCAGTGGAGTGCAAGTGCTTCTCATCTTCCTCGCAGCCGGGGACTGGCAGCTGCAGCAGGAGCAGCAGCAGAAGGGCCAGGGGAGCAACGGCTTGCGAGTGCCCTGCTGATCAGCCTCTTCTCTAGGGCGCATGGGGGGGGGGGCGCCAGAAGGGATCCTTGCCTAGGGTGCAAAATAAGCTGGGGCCGGCCCTGAAGACACCCTGTGAGGCAGGTGGGGCTGAGAGAGCTCTGACAGAAACTGCTCTTTTTCAAGACCAGCTCTTGTCAGAACTACGGCTTGGCCAAGGTCATCCAGCCAGGTGCAAGGGGAGGAGGAGTGGGGAATCAAGACCGGTTCTCCCAGATTAGAGTCCGCCACACTTAACCACTACCCCAAACTGGCTCTCATAAGATGCTAGTAACAGTTTAAGTAACAACGGCGGAGGCATCTATATGTCTATATGTTTTGGTTTTGCTTTTTATCGTAACCTGCCTCAGGTCAGGTCCTTTGGCAGAGAGGGAAGATGAGAAACATTTGAAGGTGGGGGGAAGAAACAAACAAGTGGATTGGATCCCGGCTACTCAACCATTTCCATGAATGGCACCAAATCTGGGTACTCGTGATGAAGCTTAAACGGTTGTCAACTATGCAGCCTTTCAGCAGTAGGACTTCTTCTCCTTCTACCTCTCTAGGCCTCCCCACACCCTTCTCTTCAGTCTCAAGACAGCCACAAAGGAAGGGGTTTGCCGGACGAGGGGTGCGGTTGCCCCATTTGACCCATTCTAAGCCAGTCCAAGACCCCTGCGTTGCAATTTCCAGGAGGTCAATGCCCAACAGGCAATCACCTTCAATAGCTTCAGACCTGCAGTGGGAGATTGGCATCCGATTGTGAATTGGATTGCTACTGTTCCCAGTGCATGTCAGTAAGAGTATTTAAACCGTAGCAGCTTAACGGGAACACCCTGATGAAGGATGAACTTTGAAACGTTGTTATGAAACATCCGGACACAACGTCGAATTATTTAGTAGTTCCCCTTTGTTTAGACATTGTAGCACATACCAGTTCTCCACTGTTTACATTCTGTACGTTTTCACTGTAGCTACTCTGTATACATTATCCTCTATTACATGTTCTTCAGCTTTTTGGCAAGTTGTAACTGGCGAGTCTGTTAACTACACTTGTTTTTGTCTCTTCCCAGGGAGTGACCACCCCTGGGAAGTGCTGCTGCAAACGTCACCGGCCTGACGGAGGGTGCCCAGGACAGAGCAGCGCTGGAGGCAGAAGGCCTTCTCCGGCGCTTTGGCTGCGGAGGAGGAGGAGGAGGACCCGAAGGCAAGGGAGAGAGGGAAAGGCTGCCGACTGCCCTGCACCCGCCTCGCGCAGTGGCTCCTTCCCTGCGGAGACTGGCAGGCACCGTGGCCAAGATGTGCACGGACACCCCTCGCTTGGCGGTTCCTCAGCATCCTCAGGGTCCATCTAGTGAGAGACCCTCCCCCTGGCCCCTCCCCACTCCTACCAAGGGGGCTGGGTTTCCCAAGGTGCCCTTGGATGGCAGAGGGCAGAAGGAGCCAGAGAGAGTGGCCATTTGGGTAACGCGCCTTCCCTTGGGACACACCGCCCCACGGCTTCTGCTCCCTTGGCTGCACTTCAAGGGCTCCCACGGTTTTGTCCCCCAAACGGTGCTATTCGTGCCCCCCCCCACATTCACCTCTTCCACACAATGACTCTAGGCTAGGGGTGTCAAACATGTGGCCCGGGGGCCGGATCAGGGCTTCTCTCAGGACCGCAGTGGAACTGGCTGTCTTCTGCTGCTTCTTCCAGTTCTGCTACTGCTGCATCATCACAGGTTTGAAGCTTACACACGTGAACAGCATACTCGAGATTGCAACAGCACAGACATTTCGATGCAGTAATTCAGAGCAAGAGGTGTCAGTATCAGACACTGTTAAATAAACAAACTATTGCAAGAGTGCAGATGTTTTAAGCATGTTTTTATTTTAAGTAAAAAAAACACCCTTTGTGTCTGTGTCCTTTATAAAGTTTATATCTCTGCTACCTGGCATTACATGTTATGACAGACCTGGCCCGGCCCAACAAGGTCTCCTTTATGTCAGATCTGGCCCTCATAACAAATGAGCTCGACACCCCTGCTCTAGGCTTTCTCATAACCCAAGAATGGCTCTCCCCGAAGGCCTCCGCATTCATCCGCTAATCATTCCTCTCCAACCCCAGAGAACAGAAAGGCGAGGCCCACCTTGGCCATTTCCTGTCAGGGAAAACCCCGGGCTCTGAAGCAAGCATGCTGTGAGCCACGGAATGTCCCACAGGAAGACGGGCTCAGAGTCAGCCGGGCAAGTTGGTCAAGTGGAACAGCTGCGAGGCGGAAGGAACCATAAACTGGGGGGCACCCGAGTTCGAACCTCGTTCAGCGATCTTAGGGAAGCCCCTCCCTCCCTCCCTCCCTCCCTCCCACAGCAACAGAGACCTACTTTGAAACCTTGTTGTAGTCTATAGGAAAGCGGAGGCAGTGTGGACGATGCTCAAGTGAAATGAGGAAAAGCTTGACTTTTTGGAATGAAGACTCCCTGCTCAGGGAGCCTTCGCACAGACGAGTTAAGATTCTGGCAAGGGGTCATTATAAGGTTGTGACACACAGCGAGCTAGCAATTCCCACTTGGATGGGTTGGGAGAGGGGGAACCCTCTGGTGGAGCGAGGGGAATGGTGGCCGAAAGGGGCAAGTAAGGACCGCACAAGGGAAACTGTTGTGTGCCCACTCGGTGGCCAGTGTTCCCTCTAAGCTGAGTTAGTGCGAGCTAGCTCACCGTTTTTTAGCCTCCAGCTCACAGATTTTTGTCTTCGCTCAGAAAGGACGGCTCCAGAGCAAACTAATTCATCCAGCAGCCAAATCGCTTGCTCACCACTTTAATGCCAGTGGCTCACCGAGTAGAAATTCTGCTCACAGGACTCCACAGCTTAGAGGGAGCATTGCCGGTGGCCGTTGTGAATCGTCTCGCAGAGAACCGCTTCCGTGTGGAAGTAGCCCCCATATAAAGGTGAGAAACGTGCAACGTTTTCCTCCAAGCGGAAGCTCGGGTTTGCACGTCTCCGTGCCAGAGCCCACAGTCTCCGGCGTGCAAAGACGACTGCGGTTTATTGATCATTTCCCCCAGTTACAAAAAGACCGGGGAAGGTAAAACACAAGAGGGAAGGGTTCTGCTATCGTGAATTTTTCCGCTGCTCCGACATGGGCTGTCAGTCCTCACTCGGCTTCAGAACTCGGAAGAGTTAACTGCCCCGTTCCCCTTCCTCTCCAGACTTGGCCAGCTGTGGAACTCCAGTTACCTATGTCAACAACGCTGCAAGTTTACCTCTCTCAGCGCCAAAGCAAAGGAAAAAGAAGCCAGGCACACGGACTTGGTACCCTGCAGCAGCTGTGGAAGCACGAAGGAACGATTTCCGAGCCGGTTCTGTCTTCCCCCCCTTCCTCTCCCTCTTCCCCTCGCAAAGTTGGCTCCGGCACCCGGTTCCCTTTCGGCCTTGCAACTGCTGGCAGCCATTTTAAGTCTTGGCAGCCATTTTAGTGCTGGCGGCGAGAAGGGCTCCCACAATGCCGGCAGCAGGCAACTGACAAACGGACGGAGGAGTGCGGCTTTCCGTAGCCCAGGGACAGATTGGAGATAAATTCTTAAACACGACGGAGGGAGAGGAGCCC